CTGAAGGCCCCCCCCCCCCCCCCCCCGTGCACAAATGTCATGCACCGGGCCTCTAGTTAATAAATAATACAAGAATAAACTTGGTTGCATACTCACAACTGTAAACCTACTTTTGGCCCACCCTGTATTTAGACTTGACCATAGGAATATCATTCTTAGGGTTGTGGGTGAGTGATTTTGTTTTTCTTTAATGAGGAATCTAGAAACTCAATTAGTTTTACATAACACATGACTAATTTTTCCTCTGAATTAACTTAGTGTTTTTTCTTTCCTACAGATTTCAGAATTGATATTCCCACCTCTTCCAATGTGGCACCCTTTGCCCAGAAAAAAGCCAGGGATGTACCGAGGGAATGGCCATCAGTGTCACTACCCTCCGCCTGTTCCATTTGGTTATCCACATCAGGGAAGGAAGAATAATAAACCATACCGCCCAATTCCAGTAACATGGGTACCTCCTCCTGGAATGCATTGTGACCGGAATCACTGGATTAATCCTCACATGTTAGCACCTCACTAGCTGCTTTTGATTCTATTGGTGTTGAGAGAAGGTAGAATAAGCCTGACTGCATATTAAAAGTTCATACTCATAGTAGTAAAGTTAGATGGGTTAAACCATCAAACTTATTTTTATAGAGAAGTTATTGAGAATAATCTTTCTAAAAAATATATGCACTTTAGATATGTTGGTATAGTTTGAGAAATTTTATTAAAGTTAGTCAAGTGCCTGAGTTTTTAATATTGGATTTGAGTATTTATATATTGTGCATCAACTCTGTTGCATACGAGAACAGTGTAGGAGTGGTCGATCTGTTATAATAGCACCTTTGAGCATTTACTTTATGGAGAGTATGTAAGTTATTTATACGCAGGGAAATATATTTTATGTTATTGTTTAGAAGAATTGTGTGAAATCATGTAGTTGCAAATAAAAAGTAGTTTGAGGCATGACAATGTGTGCTTCTGTTCTGTGCATAAAAAACAAGGGAGAAAGAGTAAAGGGCATGTTTCACTTCACTGTTTAATTAAATATTTAGCAAAGAAAAAACTAATTTTTAATTTTCCTTTAAAAATCAACTTTTAAAAACCATACTTTTCCCAAAGTCTGCAGTGTCAAAATATGCATATGAAAGAATAAAATTTGTTAGTAGTAGCTCATTGAAAATATAAACATAATAAAACATCTTTCAAATTATTAAAGTCACTATACATAGGACTTTCTTACCCAAGGATTTGGCCTATACTAATGTTTTGGGGCTTTTTTCCCCTTTTTAGAGGGGAGGGGGGATGAGGGTGGGGAAAGGAATATTCATCAGTTGCCTCCTTTACCAGGATTGAACCTGCAACCTGCGTATGCAACCTGACCGGGAATAGAACCCACCACATTTTGGTGCACGGGACAATGCTCCAACTGAGTGACATTGGTCAGGGCTGGCCTGTACTAATTTTGATAGGACATTTGACTTATGTTCGTAATGCCAGTGCATAAAGCAGAAATGTCCTTTCAGCCACTCAATTTCTGTGCCCATTTTGCAACATGTTAAAGTCTTTACTAGAGGTCTGAAATAAAGTCAAATCGAACAGTACTTCAGATTCTTCAGCAGTCCTTCATATTTACACCACTGTAATGCCATCAGTCTTGTAAGTGTACTTGAACTACAAAAAGAGAAAAGGAGAAATAAGAATTTGGATTTTTCTCCCCCAGAATACATTTTAAAGAATTAAGATCAATACTTTTTCCCATTTTCCACATCTTTAAATTATTTAACATCAGAAAAAGTCATAACTTGCTAATAAATCATTGGATAGCCTTGGCTATTCTAAATATTCCTGTTGTCATTTTTTGTGATAAATTCTGTTGACATAGAATACCAGAGAAGTGCACAAACATTAAGTCATAATCATAACTCAGATTTGAAAGTATGGAAATTGAAGTGTTTGCAATCTCAACATAAAACATTTTTAAACCTTAGATATTTTTCTAGTTTAATGTTATTGTATTCTTTGATAAACCATATACAACTTTTAACATACTTCCAAACTTTCTACTTTTTCCTCTGAAAAACGGATTGGCAAAAATAGGTTTACAATTGTACACAAAAAATTCTTTATTGTATTATTGTACAACTGTAAACCTACTTTTGCCTGCCCCTGTATATAATGAATACCTATTCAAACTTCAGTTTATTTTTCTAGGGGTAACTGGCATCACAAGGGAGATTAGTTTTATTTTAGTCTAAAATTTTTAAAAACTTGCTATTTTGTGTGACAAAGGAAAATTTGTGGTCAATTGTAAAGGTGACAGGTAGGTTTCAGGTATTTTTATCAGGGAGTTAGCATTTGTTCTGTTAGTTTGCTCACATCTATATAAAAGCCTATGTGACCGGAATGACCAGTTGCTATGATGCACACTGAACACCAGGGGGCAGATGCTCAATGCAGGAGCTGTTCCCTGGTGGTCAGTGCACTTCCCCAGCCAACCTCCCCGGCCCTCCACCTGGCCGGCAGGCCCTGATCACCTGATTGGGGTCGGGCCCTGGGCTGGGATGGGGAACCAGGGTGGGTGGCGGCGGATGTAGCCCAATTCCCAGGGGGCCGAGGGCCAGCTTCCTCCTCTGGGCCAGCAGCCAAACTCCTGTGCCCCATTCCTCACCCTGGCCGGCAGGCCCCGATCGGCCCGCCACCCACCCGCCCAGGGGCAGTGTAGTGGCAAGAGAAGGAGGGGGGGGGGTAGGTGTGGAACTGCACAGTGGCAGAGCGCCGATGATGGCGTCAGTGTCCAGTGTCCGTTCCTTCTGCACCTGGCCCAGCAACCATCGCCTCCTCTCTGGCCTGGCCCTGATCGACCTGACCCCGATGAACCCTGATCGCAGGCCAGGCCTAGGGACCCCATCCGTGCATGAATTTCATGCACCGGGCCTCTAGTTGTAGTTATAAGCTTGTTGGGAAAATCAGAAGTACTAGTATACTAGCCATACTGACAAGGAAGTATTTTTGGCATCCCCCTGGTAATTGGACCTTTCTTTCCACATTAGGTTACTATAAAATCACCTAAATCTCTTATTCATTCCTCCTGATAACTAAATGGCAGAGTGCCTTGGGGAAAATGCTAATTTTGAACTTGTATATTAGATGAACTACCTGTAGAAGATTTCTGACTTGATATCCACCTTCCACCTTGTTCTAAAATACATTTAAAGCAGTGGTTCCCAACCTTTTTTTGGCCATGCCCCACCTAAGCATCTCTAAAATCCTGATGCCCCCCCCCCCCATATAATTCTTATTATTCAAAAAGTGAACTATTCACGTGGAGGAAGCCTAAAAGGCCATTAATGGTCTAAACAAGCTTCCACAGAACATGGCATCCATGAAAGAGAAAAATAAAAGAACGAAAGGACAGTTGAAGTACTGAAGAAGAAATCACTAAGAAGTTATTAAAAAAAATAAGAAGTGATAGCAAAAAATAGCAAATAAAGTTTCAGAACATAATAGAGAACAGAAATACATAAATATGTCACAATATATATTTATATACTGTACTAGAGGCCTGGTGCATGAAATTTGTGCGTGGCGGTGGTGGTGGTGGGGTGTTCCTCAGCTGGCCTGCACCCTCTCGCAATCTGGGACCCCTCGGGGGATGTATGACTGCTGGTTTAGGCCTGATCCCTGATACATTTCTGAATTAAATGATTACAATGTGGTTACAAAATTTTGTTGCTGATCCCTGGGGGATCGGGCCTAAACTGGCAGTCAGACAATCCCTCTTGCAATCTGGGACCGTTGGCTCCTAACCGCTCACCTGCCTGCCTGATCGCCTCTAACCACTCGCCTGCCTGCCTGATTGCCCCAAACCCCTCTCCTGCCTGCCTGATTGCCCCTAACCGCTTGCCTGCCTGCCTGATCACCCTTAATTGCCTCTGCCTCGGCCCCCGTGTGGTGGCTTCGTCTGGAAGGACGTCCGGAATGACATCTGGAAGGTTATTTGGCTGTCCAGTCTAATTAGCATATTACACTTTTATTATTATAGATATGAGGCCCCTAGAATCATAAATGCAAAAAATTCACTGTTAATAACTCTCAAATTGCCCCCCATTAAAAATCAAATTGCCCTCCTGTGGGGTGTGTACCCCATGTTGGGAACCACTGATTTAAAGCAACAGAAAGCTGCCTGGCTGGTGTGGCTCAGTGGTTGAATGTTAACCTATGAACCAGGAGATCAAGGTTCAATTCTTGGTCAAGGCACATGCCCTGGTTGTAGGCTCAATCCCCTGTGGGGTGTGTGCAGGAGGCAGCTGATCGATGATTATTTCTCATCATTGATATTTCTATCCCTCTCCTCTCTGAAATCAATAAAAATATATTTAAAAAACAAACATCTAGCCCTGGCTGGTTTGGTTTAGTGGATAGAGCGTCGGCCTGCAGACTGAAGGGTCCCAGGTTCGATTCCGGTCAAGGGCATGTACCTTGGTTGCGGGCACATCCCCGGTGGGGGGTGTGCAGGAGGCAGCTGATCTATGTTTCTCTCTCATTGATGTTTCTAACTCTTTATCCCTCTCCCTTCCTCTCTGTAAAAAATCAATAAAATATATTTTAAAAAAAGAAAAAACATCTAGTTAAAAAAAAACAACACTAGAAAATACCATGTAGCCACAAAAGATGGATTTGTAGTGACATGGAATAAAATGCTACAAGTCGTGGAAATATTGCCAATGGTGTCAATATTGTCTGGAAAAAAAAATACCAAATTGTTAATAGTAGTGTTCTCAGAGGCAGTGGAAAGGGGGCAGATACAGAGAACTCAATTTTTCTACATTGTGCATTTCGGTCTGGACTTTTATACTGAGCATTATTACTTTGTAACTGGAGGGGTGAAAACACAAACACTTTTTAAAGCACTTAAGACAAGTTCAGAGGACTTATTTTTATTGAATAAAAATACTATACATCACTGATAATCAAATTCCATGTAGAGGATATCTATTACATTTCTGAATTAAATGACTGTAATGTGGTTACAAAATTTTGTTGCTGATCATACTGTGTCTAGAAGGAAATATTCCAAAATAATAAATGCTTGTAATAGTGGTAGTGTTCCCAATTATATATCACATAGTTTTGTGATAAAAAATTTAAATAGTACTTTGTGGGGGGAAAAATCCTATTAAGAAAGAGTATTGAATACCTAAAGTTAAGCTTTAACAACAACAGAAAAGTGTGAGTCCTATAGAGGAGAAAAATTTATAAAAAATTGCCAAAAGACAAAAAGAACTAAATAGAAGAAATACCATATTTCTAAATTGCCTCAATATTATAAAAGCATTACTTTCCAAATTAATATGTAAAATCAATATAAATCATAATTAAGATCTCAATGAAATTTTAATGGAACTCAAAAACTTGATTTAAGTTTACATGTAAGAATAATTCTCAAGAATAACTAAGAATATTTTTAAAAGAACAATGGATGGGGAGTGTTCTTCCTTTTATATAACTTATCAATATACTCTAAAGCAGTGATGGCGAACCTATGACACGTGTGTCAGAGGTGACACGTGAACTCATTTTTTTGGTTGATTTTTCTTTGTTAAGTGGCATTTAAATATATAAAATAAATATCAAAAATATAAGTCTTTGTTTTACTATGGTTGCAAATATCAAAAAATTTCTATATGAGACACGGCACCAGAGTTAAGTTAGGGTTTTTCAAAATGCTGACACACCGAGCTCAAAAGGTTCGCCATCACTGCTCTAAAGTATAATATAGGAGTGAACTAATACACTATACTGATAGAATTACAAGTACAGAACCAGAAACATAGAGTCACGTGCCACTTAATGTATCATTAGGTGGTTTGGTCCTGAGAACATTATAGGGGGTACTTATACAAACCTACACTGTATAACTTAATAAGCAGCTAGGCTATATGATATCCCACTGTCGTATATGTGGTCTGTCATTGATGGAAATGTTAGGCAGTGAATGACTATACAGAAGTTTAATGTATGGTGAATGTGGCTTTACAAGTTGGAAATGAGTTACTAATAAAATATTAATAGTGAACTATTTGGCTATGCAATTTTTAAAGTTAAATTCCTACTTCAAACCATAAAAATTCTGGATAAAGATAAAATCTAAATTATAAAACTATAAAAGTACTGAGGAAATAAATGAGATATTTACAAGCCTTAGCATAGGAAAATCTTCCCCACTGGACAGAAAGATTTGGTGATTTGGAATTGAAGAAAAAGATAAGCTGCGTATTAAAAGACAAACTCCAAAGAGGGGAAAAATTTCCACAAAATGTTTAAAAGAAAATGAACTAACATTCTTTCTACAAAAAAACTCCTACATATAATTAAATTATTTAGCAGAGCCAAATATAAAGAAATACAAATGGCTAAAAACAGAAGATGTGCTAATAGCACACTAACGACTAAAGGAAACACCAGCTAACACCATGAAATAATCATTTATCACCTAGCAAAGTGACAAACATTGAAAAGATTGTGGTTTGCATTCATTGTGGAAGGCAATTTTATAATGCCAAAAAAATTCAAATTCTATATATCTAGAAGATAATTGGAAACACTTTTGCAAATTTATAAATCAGTGTGCAATTGATGCATTATTTGCCATAATAAACATAATTCATACTACGTAAGAGTAAGGCCAATACAAGAATAACCTGTGACTACTGATGCGCAAAACTGTCCACCATATTGTGTGAGCAGTGAAAATAGATGCAAAAAATGAGCATAATAGTAGAACTTAACAGGGCTACCATTGAAACTGGGTCTCAGAGTATCCAAGTTGACCCAGGTGATCGAAACATCTTCAAACTCAAGAAGCATGCTTTTAGAAGCAAGAGAGATAGACAACCCCTTAACAGTGCTTACCCTTAAAGTGTTAGTAATAGTGTGTGAGCATTATTTGTTTGTCATTTGGAAAGCAATAGAATAGATATTTTGTTCTTTTCTTGGTTTAGACAGGATTTCAATGAAAAGAAACAAATCACCTTTGAAAATATTATTGGCCACAAGAGGGCATCAGATAATCTTCCAACTTCCAGCTGCAAGTTGTATTTGAAAATAATTTCCCTTCTCCATGAAAAGCATTAACGGTTAGTTTAAATCACTGCTTTTTCTATGGATCTACATGCAGAAATTACCATAGGTAATGAAGAACTTTAACTAACTATGCCATAATTATTATACACAACAAGATATTTATTAGAATTATTTTTGTTATTAAAACTAATGCCAATTTAGGAAACCAAATAGCTAAAAGCAGAGGAAAGATCATTAAAATTGCCTGTAACCCCTCTAGCAAAGATAACCACTGCTAATATTTTAGTGAATGGGGAATGTTTTAAAGAGGGAGTTTTTAGTTTATATTCTCCCATTCTGTGTTATGACATGAAATATATTCATTTTATGGTTATGCAATTGGAAAAAGTGGAACATTTTATTATGTCACTGATTTGTTTTAAACATGGTTTTAATAGTTTCATAGTATTCATACGTATCTGCCTTGATTTAACCCATCTTTATCATTAGATATTAAGCTACAGATCTCTTTTGGAAATGTCTTCAATCATATATCTAAATATAACTACCTTTGTTGAGGGTGGGGTGGGAGAAGGATAATTTTCCTTTCAAGTTCATAAATAGACAAACAGAACTGCCAACTATTTGAAATCATACACAGAAAATTATAGATGATACATTTTTTAGGGTCAAATTGATAAGTAAAGCTGTAAAGTTCAACAGAAAACAGCTAGCATAATTGACTATTTGTTTCACTAAATTCAGTGGAAAAAATTGTTTTTGTATCTTAGATCATTCATCAAATGCTTTTTCTAAAGAAAGGAAATAAAATTTACTGATTAAAAATGAAAGTAAATTTAAAAAATTTGAACTTTGTCTAAAGGGACTAACATGAAAAATGTAAAATTTACTTTTGTCATCTGCATTATTACTAAGTGAAACCTCACTATTTCATGTTTCCTAATATTGCCCAATGATAAGACTGACCACACTTAAAATCTGATATTGATAGCTAGTAAGATCCTTTGGTAAATAATTTTTTTAAAATACCAGTTGTGTCTGGCCAGTGTGGCTCAGTGGTTGAGTGTCGACCTATGAACCAGGTCATGGTTCGATTCCCAGTCAGGGCACATGCCTGGGTTGCAGACTCGATCCCCAGTGTGGGAGTTGCAGGAGGCAGCCAATCAATGATTCTCTTTCATCATTGATGTTTCTATCTCTTCCTCTCTTTTCCTCTCTGAAATCAGTAAAACATATTTAAAAAAAATACTAGTTGTGATGCTTGATACTCACTGTGAAATCTGGAGAGGAGCACACACACACACACGCACACACAAATACAGGATCTTGAATAGGGATTTGGTATGCAAATTTACAGTAAAACTCCTCTTCCCTGACACAATTAGGAGTGCCAATCAAACAAGTTTAAATGGAAAACCATTAAAAATTATATATCCCTTAAACATTTTTAAGTGTTTAACATTATTCAATATACTTTCAGTCACCAAATTTTTGATGTGGAATTAAGAATTTTTCTTAGAATATGGGTCTATTGCTAGGAGTGTTTGTTTTCCTCATAACATACATCCATAATATATCCATGTTGATTTAAACTGTGCTTTCTTTGCAGTGAGTGAAAACAATATATTCTTAAAGCAATGTGCCAGCAGAATAATTTCCTCAGATATGTTGTCTTTACCATATCTAGGACAGTTGATATGTACAATTTACTCAAATTATGCAATCAGCAACCTAACTAGCATAAACAGGCTTGGCACCAAACAAAGCAGACCCTTGTCCATCATACACCCCACTGGGGCCACCATGGGCATCCCTAAGAAGAGTGCAGCTATGGATGCTCCGTGTGCCTGGGCACTGGTGAGCACTTTGCAGAAGGAGCAGAAGGCACTGAGGAAGCCATTCTGCTCTGTTTCACTGGCCTCCTCCCAGGCTGGTGTTGCTGGGAGTGAGAGGTGAGAGCCACACACTCTAACTCTTCCCTTCTTTCCTTTATTATAGTTCACTCAAGGCCGGGACTGCCATGGACTCAAGGTTCATAGAAAAATACTGGACCAGGAAGCAGGAGACCCGGATTCTGTTCCTAACGGGGGCCTTGGGAAATCAAAACCTTCCTGGATCTTGATTTTTTTTCATAAAATGATATTGAACTAGATAACATAGCCTACGGACATTTTTTTGTTTTTTACAAAATTTGAACTGCGTTATACATTTTCACTTAAAAATATCACAAATCTTTTGCCCATAATATTACAAAAAGTTTAAATCACATAAACATACTCATAAAGCCCTATTGGGCTACTGTATAGTGAGTGCATTTTTATCTTGTCCTGGACAGAGCAATAGTATCTTTTATTTTATTTATATTTTTATTGATTTCAGAGAGGAAGGGAGAGGGAGAGACAGAAACATCAATGATGATGACTGGCTGCCTCTTAGACGCCCCACACTGGGGATTGAGCCCACAACCCAGGCATGTGCCCCGACCAGGAATCGAACTGTCATCTCCTGGTTCATAGGTCTACACGGAACCACTGAGCCATGCTGGCCGGGCGCAGATAGTATCTTTTAGTTGGAAGGGCAGAGATGATGTTTCCTTTCACAGAATTATTTCACTTTGTGTTGTTTCTATGAACAAATAAAATGTCCCCTCCTTGTCACTAGATGAAAAGACTGGTGGAGGTTGATGTTGGAGGACTATGATTTCCCACCAGGTTGCAAATCATTGGTATGTGCTGTTATCATACTCTCTCCTCTCAGAATCGCAAGGTCATTCTACTGTTCCCCGGAAATGTTCTCACTGTTGACAGTTCTGGGCCTACATGAGAGGGAAAATGTCCTACTTAGCAACATTCAAACAGCACACTGCCGGCAGCCAACATTCAACTTGGAATAGTGTGTGACAGCTGACCTAACACATGACCCAGACACATCTTGTTTTCAAGTGCAAGATAACTAATTGTCTTCATTACTTTAGTTTGTGCTGATTCCATAAAACTGCTTTGGGCAAGAACTCCAGAAACTTGAAGAAAACAAAGATAAATTAAGAAACACACTGTGATGGGAACACATGTGGTGATGGCTGGACTGGAACACAGCCAGAGCCGCTGTAATTATCAGCCAAGATTCTTGAGAATCTATTGTGTCCAACATTGAGATGTAAAGATGCTCCTCTGCCTTTGAGAAATCACATCTGCGTAGGAGAGGAGACAAGCACGGGAAGAGACAGGCGACCCTCAGGTCCCCTTGAGGAACAGTTTAGGAGGGGTTAGGATTGCATGGTCAGTAGGGAAAGACCATACACAGAGTCAAAGAAAAAGGATAACCTGGCCCCCCAAAACCCAAACCTTTTATTTTATATCACAAAGGGCTAATTTTATTATATTTAAGAGCTCCAAATTAGCAGAATCTATAATAATAAAAGCATAATATGCTAATTAGACTGGATGTCCTTCCGGACGACCTTCCGGATGAAGCGGGGGCTGCAAGGGAAGGCCGGGTCCTGGGTGCCTGCCAGCGGCTGGAGGGAAGCCCGGGTCCTGGTGGCCAGAGGGAAGCTGGTACCGGCAGCCGAGGGAAGGAAGGCCTACTCTTGCACAAATTTCGTGCATTGGGCCTCTAGTAGTAATATAAAAGAAAAATGGGCAAAGCACACGAACACAGTTCTCAAATAGTTTTTAAACATAAGATGATCAACTGGACAAATAACAAGAGAATTTTAAACCATGAAATACTTTTCTTCCCAGAGATCAAAACGTTGAATAAGAGTATTGGTGAAGACTGGGGGTGAGATAAGCACTCATCCATTGCAAGCATAGGCCGCTACAACATGTACAAAGCTATTATAATAAAAGCTATCACAATACTCTACAATCAGCACCTCCCTTTCTAGAAATGTAAAGATACAGCCCTAACCAGTTTGGCTCAGTGGATAGAGCGTCGGCCTGAGGACTGAAAGGTCCCAGGTTCGATTCCGGTCAAAGGCATGTACCTTGGTTGCGGGCACATCCCCAGTAGGAGGTGTGCAGGAGGCGGCTGATAGATGTTTCTCTCTCATTGATGTTTTTAACTCTCTATCCCTCTCCCTTCCTCTCTGTAAAAAAATCAATAGAAATATATTAATATATACATATACACATATATATCGTGATGTATACAGGAACACACCTCTTGTAATTTTACTCATTATATCTAAAAAGATGGGATCAATTTAAATGGGCATCAATTGGAGACTGTTTAAATAAATTACAGAGTATCACTGTGATGTAAATATTAGTTTTGAAAACAAGTTAGATAGATGTATAGATGACAGAAAACAGATAACATAGATACAGAATAATCTAAGAGGATTTGTTAAATTAGAAAAACCATGTAGCCCGGCTGGTGTAGCTCATTGGCTGAGCACTGACCCATAAATCAGGAGGTCAGTGGTTCAATTCCCAGCCAGGGCCCATGCCCAGATTGTGGGCTCGATCCCCAGTAGAGGGTGTGCAGGAGGCAGCCAATCCTCATCGATGTTTCTCCCTTTCCTTCCTCTCTAAAATCAATAAAAACCTATTTAAAAAAACAAACAAACCTGTATGTATACACCAGTGTAAGGAAGTATGGTAGTGGAGGGCCAGTTGTAAAAGTCTAAAACCTAAGAGAGAAACAGTCACTGACTTCACTCCAGACCTACTCAGCATCTGAGGGGTTTAGAAATTTCTTTTACTTCTCCAGGTCTTTATAACTAGGAGATGGTGTTTTTTAAGGTGACTCCTCCAGAGCCAGGTCACCCCATCCTGTATTTATGCAAATTAACTTTTCATGTCACGTGCAGACTTTCTCACCACACACGCCCACTCACTTTTTCTTTTGGGGAACAAACCAGACAAGTTGTCTTGCAGAACATATGACGTGAACTTATTGAATGCACATTTGCCCCTAGTGCCGTTTCTTTCCTAAAAATTCACTCAGTATGTACTGAGCAATATGCCAGAGTTAGGAACTGGAGATATTGGGGAATAAACTAGGTTTAAACTCACAAAGGGGACCTAGTAAGCATGTTAAATAACTAGAACACAAAAGGTTTTGTGCCATAAAAGACATGCACTGGCCATACTGAGGGCCCAGGCACCCCTCTAAATTAGCATGTGAGTGAGGGGCAGGGGTGCGGATCAGGAAAAATGACTCAAAGGACAAGTGTTTGGATTTACACGGTATGAAACCCCAGCCCCCCAGCAGGTGCGTAGAGGTGCACCTAAAGGTGTGGAGAAAATAAACCAGAGAGAAATGGAATGGACCACGAGGGCCCTTTTAGATGAGATTATGATGGCCTGGATTTTAATATGGTCATAGTTACATTTTAAGAACCAGTCCACTAGGCCCGGGGTCAATGACTCAGGGCAAGACAAGATCACGCTGGCTTCTAGTACTTTGTTGGGGACTGACATCAGGTTTTACTCCTGTGATTTCCTGCACCTTCTCCCATCCTCTCCATTCTCCATCCGAGTTAGAATTTTCACAGCTCAGCAGTGAAACGAGAAGCAAACTGATCAAGGAGCTAGTCAGAGTTCTTGGTTCACTAGACCGAAATGTATTTCTTGATTCTTCATTAACTCCAGGAATTTTTCTTTTTCTGTAGTTACTTTAGGATAATTCCCCCCCCCCAAAGTTATTACATTTAGAAAAGTAATTTAAATAACAAATCACATTTGATTTATACTTCAGAAATACCAGCAAGAAAAATGGAGCTGAGTTGGGACTGCCTTTCTAATCTCTCACTGTTGCCTTCATTGCATTTAGAAATTATATTTGTTTATGCCTTAGACTTTAAACCACTTTTATTTAATAACAATTGACTTATATTTAATTTTGTTTCATCAGTTTTGCCATTTGGTATTTAATTAACCAGAAATAGGATCTGGCCTTTAGAGCTGCAAGATTAAAATATGGTCTAAATGAAAGGCATTAAATTATACTCAGTAGGCCCTGACCAGTTTGGCTCAGTGGATAGAGCGTCGGGCCGTGGACTGAAAGGTCCCAGGTTCGATTCTGGTCAAGGGCATGTACCTTGGTTGCAGGCTCGATCCCCAGTAGGGGGCGTGCAGGAGGCAGCTGATGGATGTTTCTCTCTCAGTGATGTTTCTAACTCTCTATCCCTCTCCCTTCCTCTCTGTAAAAAGTCAACAAAAAAAATACATTTTTAAAAATTATACTCAGTAGTGTCACTTAGCATATTTTATTGTAATCTTGGGTCCTTAAAACTCTGTGTATCATGATCAGCATCCCAGCTACCAGGGACAAATGCAAAGCCTTTTTCATTGAATCAATTCTAGTTCTTTAAGAGCCTCCAACATCCCCTGGGACGTAGGTATTTGCATCCCCATTCTAAAGCACTAGGAAACTGAAGCCAAGTAAAGCATCTGGTAATGAGTGGTGTTCAAACAGGTCCGACTCCAAGGCCTACGCTCTTCTCCTTTAAGCCTCTGAGTAGAAAACTTCATGTTAGTATAAACCAGTTGTTCTCAACCTGGGTGGGGGGTGGTAGACATTTGGAAACACATTGGGAGACACGGTTTTTGGTTGTCACATCTGGGGGAGGGAGGAGTTCTGTTGGCACCCAGTAGGTAGAGACCAGGGATGATACTAAACAACCTACAATGCCTAGGACACTCCCCCACAACAAAGAGTTACCCAGCCCAAAGTGTTAAAAGTGCCAAGATTGAGAAACTAGAGGGTAAACGATATTCCTCAAAAAGTCTTACAGACCTATTACTACCCCCATCCTGTTTTGTTTTGTTTTGTGAAATCAATGTTTAGGGTCAATGAAAATAGCTTTAAACCAGAACCAGATGTGTTTAATACATACATGCATGCACATTTTTAATGCAGCTGAGAAGTGCTTTGAGTTTATACTGCAAAACACTGTGGAGTGATCACAGAACTTTGAAGGTTTCAACCCCAAATATTATGGTATATACTGCATATAGATGTAGGGTGGGGAAACACATGTATGCTTCATGTTTCCAATTATGTGTGATTGTTCTGCTCTTTATTCTGTTTAATAACGGATGCAAAGGGTGTGGGGAAAGAAGCCCTGACTCAGAAAGCAGGGAGAAACATCATATTGAAACTTTATAAGTAGACATTTTTTTTTTTCAAGCACAATGAAGCCACACCATGAGGCAGAAAACTACTTTCTTAATTTTATTTGAAAAGTACACAAGGTCACAAAGCTAGAGCAAGTTCTTGCTTTTTTAACCAAATTTGTTCTTACAAAGTTCAAAATCTGCACCATTGGATATTTAAGCCAGAAACTTTAAATACAAAAATCACCTTTGAAACTGACACTATCAATTCTCTACTTGCATATGTGAAGTGTCAAAATCTTTTTTTCTCAGTAGTACAAGTTTATTTATTACAAATGTTCACAGTAAGGGATGAGAATAAGTGAATCAGTGAATTGTGGTTCTCTTGACACTTGTGTCATTAAATACATTAGTAGAAAAATGCAAAGTTCTTCCTTGATTGGAGCGTTTAGTGTTCGTGACCAACACCAATCCCAACAGGTACTTTCCCCTCAAATTACAAAACAGGGTACTTTGTAAAACTTGATTAACAGTAAGAAGCCAGATACAGCAAATATTGCTGGTGTTACTATCCATAAGATAACATATTTGCTGGTGTTACTCATAAGATAACATATTTGCTGGTGTTACTATCCATAGGATAAGCAGAACTGCAATTCACAAATTTATTATTCTTCCCTGTTTCCATAACATGAATAAGTAGAATCTGTGCTCAGTTATGGACCATATTTTAGTGTCAAAATAGGCAAACAAGTAAAAAATCCAACTGCAGAATATGTTGCCTTTATTGCAAGACTACCCAAAGGCATTTGAAATATTAAAACTTGCCCAGAACATTTATACTACTAAACACAGAATATTACAAAGATGTATGTACATATATATATATAATATATAATGTCACAAGCCACTAAGAAGTTAAAATGGTGTCAAGGTTTTCTACAAACTACTCCTTACACGACACGTCAAAGCATTAAGCACATAATATGGACCTTTTCTGTTCACACTGGAATAAGGGGTCTGAAAGCCCTAAACACTGTGGAGGTGAAAAGAGATTAGGAAAAACTTGAAACATTCACATAACTTCAGATTTACATGCTGCACGCACACAGAAAGACAGAGAATGGTTATTTTAAAAAGCCATCCATTATAGAATTTGATGTCTAACTTCATGCAACGAGTTCTTTTTATATTTAATCAAAATGTTTATTTGCCCCTTTACTTGCTCCTAATTTATGAAACTCAATCTTGAAAATTATCTTTTTCATAAAAATCAGATATTAATTCATACCAATAATCTAATTGTGTTTCTTGAATTAACCTCCCCCTACGACACACTCTGGCTGTATTTCCATTGTAACAACTCCAGGGCAGATTTTAATTTTTTTTGGCCTTCTAACAGGGGAATATTAGAATAAAAGAACACCGTAAACTACACATTAAAGCAGAGAACTACGTCCGCTAAGGTACCACTGCTTCTCAAGTTATCCTGTGTAACTCAACAAAATGGTATTGAGTCTCTTAGGTGTAAAGTGGAATCAATTGCTTTTGCCTCGAAGACACAGTGCTATCCTTGGCTGATGCTGGTAAGCTCCAATGGCAATGCTCGAATAGCAAGTTTTGTTGAATTGCTTGATGATTACCAATAATTCCAGAACAGATATCTGATCTCTGGTTTAAATGAAATTATCAGTGAGAATCCCTTAATGGGTCAAGCAGAACTACCTGACTTCTGGATTAACTGAAATTTACAATGAGAGTAGCTGAAGACGTAGCCTAAACCTGAATTCTGTCCTCTAAATGTCATCACGCCCAATAGGTCTGCACAGGATACACAACTGATTTTTTGTGAGGTTGTTTCTGAGGGTACAGGTGTTTCTGGAAGAGATTCTGACTTATTTGTAGCTAAATCCTAGACCAGTGGTCGGCAAACTGCAGCTCGGCAAACCGTGGCTTGCGAGCCACATGTGGCTCTTTAGCCCCTTAAGTGTGGCTCTTCCATAAAATACCGGCTCTTCCACAAAATACCAACTTCTGCGCATGGGCCACGAAGTTTCAATCGCACTGTACGTGCGTGCCCGCATGTGGTATTTTGTGGAAGAGCCACACGTGGCTCGAGAGCCGCGGTTTGCCGACCACGGTCCTAGACCAACTACGAAGTCTAGGCAAGGAAAGCCTTACATGTGTCCATTTTTTGTAGTAATTTCTACTTAGATTGATAGCATAATCTTCAGTGCATGAAAACTAATAAAGACCAAAAGTTGTTTCTTAGAGTTTGTGCTGGTATTTCTTAGTACTATTGTATATACATTTGTATTCATATAAAACAGACCAGACATCTGGAGTTCAAAAATAGTTACTATTATAAAATCAGAAACACAGCCAGAGTGTTGGGGATGTTGAAATTTTAGTCTTTATGGATAACACAGTCTGTTAATTTGCATACAAAAAAGAACAGAAAAGAGGAGGCAAGATTGAAGTCTGAGGATAGGAAGGTGTCACAGTGATGCATTTTTAGGAACAGTACCTTCACCTCTAAGCACCTTTCAGGTGATAGCTAGCTCATAGGCACCAGAAATTCATAATAGAAATTAAATGACCCAAAAGGCACAAATGAAACTGTTAACACAAGTATAAAAGCAATATTGTGTGAGGTTAAAACCCTATTTAAAAAAGGCTTCCGAATATGTAAAACCATACACTAATTCATTACACAGACATTCAGCTTAAATTTACCATTAAAAAGTGTACACAATACTCTTACTAATCAGAAAGTCATGCCAACATTAATTTCTAATGCCGCATGAACCACCACAGCACCCAAAGAGATGAACAGAAACCAACTCCCTACAAAATCGAGGGAACAGGTTTCAGAGCTAGTGAAATAATTTATTGCAGACCTTACTTACTATAAAGAAACTGCTGGCTCATTCTACTATATCCACACTCCCTTGCAATCTTAAGGGAAATACAATAAATTTACTTTCTACTAAAACAGTATTTAACACATTTGGCAGTTGGGAGTATTCCTTTTACTCCCTTTCCTTTCTTTCTTTTTTTTAAAGAATAAATCACTTTCACAAAACTAGGACTCAAACTTTTCAAAACTCAACTGGATTTTCTGCAACTGCACAGACAGGTTGGCAGTAGAATAGCAACTGTGCGTCCTCCCAAGTCTGGAAGGCAGAATTGCGAAGGACACCGACTAGCTTACAGTGCGCTCCGTCATTCCGAGCCTATGAAGGAACATCCTCCAGAAACTGCATTCAGGAAGGTAGACTTAGGATTACATGTTTCTGGAACGTATAACATGCAACACCATCCAAAAACAACAACAACGAAACGCTGAACTTCTTAAAATTTGGAACCAATAATTAGGGAATTTCAATCTGTATCTGTCCAATAATAAATGTTATAATTTTTTTCTTAGTAGAAAAATATCACCTAATGCAGAGAGCCAGTATGTGGTTGGGAACTGCAGGATTCCCCATCCTTGCTCTGGCGGGTCTCTGTTCTGGAGATCACCCCAGATTGCTCATCGCTGAAATCCACCCTCACTACCATACCTAGTGCCATTGCTCTATGTAGTGACAGCAAACTTGCTAAATAAATCCATAGGTGCTCCTTTACTTTAGCATATAAAAGAGCTTACTATGCCTCTGTTGCCTGTTGCCAACAATCCATCAATCAAATACTTAAGCAATCATTCCGTAGACAAGGCTTATGCATGACCTGAAAGTAGAACTAGTAATTTCTAGAACCCTGTAGAGTGTTTTTATGTTACTAGAGCTATTCCAAACACATTTAGAGTTTTCAAAGAACAAACATAAAGGACTATAAGAATTTTTTGCCATGAATGCTTCTTTGCCAATTTTGGGTCATAAATTAATTGAGAAAGGCATCCTAAAAAATAATGGCAGGAATGAAAAAGCACTACTTTTTAAGATGATTCAAGTATCAACTTGGTGTGCATGTAAGTTCACCAATATCTTCTCCTATGATTTCATATCCAAAGTGCTACATATTACTAAGTATTGGTAGTTAGAAACTGACAAAATCTTTAAGAAATCTTTTTCAGATGGCAAATTTGTCTTTAGTAACTTTAATGCCTATACTATTCCGATAAAAACAAACACAACTTTTTGAAGTACGTTTCTTACAGTTTTTGGTTCACTTTTTGATCTATTGAGGCTGGTAGCAAAATTTAGAACAAAATAGGTTTTCCTATTTCAAAAGAAGAAGAGAGGTGTGGAGCACAGAGGAGAGAGGTTCGGAGGCCCTATACTATAGACCCGTCCTTGCTCTGGGCTGGAATCATCACCGGCACCGCTCCCATCCTACTGAGATTAGGGGCAGCTACCTTAGCGGGCGGGAGAGTCGGACTCTGAGGAGCGCGTTCAAAATCTTCACTTGGTACTTGGTTATACTGAGTCTTGGAATAGCCCTCCATGTTGGAAGGAGACATGGATCCCAGGGATGAGTGATTGCTGCCGATGTAGCTTCTGGCTGTGGACGTCCGGCTCTTGGGGGGAGGCACGTCTTCCCTGGAAAGCAAAGATCCCAAAATAATCGAAAGAATGAGTTTCTAGAAACCTACAATTGTGTAGCCTATGAATCATGGGTGGGGGCTATCTAAGCACGAAGTATATAAAAGTGTGTGACATACAAAAAAGCAAGCACAATCTATATCCTATCTAATAATAGACAAACATGGTAATTAACCATACCTCCGACACGCTTCCCATTGGCTAATCAGGGCAATATGCAAATTAACTGCCAACCAAGATGGCGGCCGGCAGCCAGGCAGCTGAAGCGAACAGGAGGCTTGCTTGCTCCAGTGACGAAGGAAGCCAAGGTTCCCCACT